TAAGTGAAATTATGTGTATAAATATTTTTGTCATAGGGATGGTAATACCCTTTTCCTTGATAAAGATTCTGTAGGTGACCTCAGTACACCAGTATGAAAGTGAGCTCATATATGTCACAAATCTGGTTGTTAATATGATCCATGTATGTAGAAAATGGTGCTTCTTATAACATTGAGTTAGAACTGGCAGAGGATTTTCAGGAAAGATAGGCTAAAAACAAAGGGGCTGGAGAGATGGCTCAGCATTTAAGAGCACTTTGCTTTTGCAGAGAACCTGGGATCATTTCTCAACACCCACATGGCAGCTTGCAACTGACTGTACTGCAGTTGTAGGGGATCCACATGTACACATAAATTTTAAAGAGCAACTTATAAAACAAAAATACCTTTTATCTGTGATAAATGAAAACTGAAGAGCTAATGATTGCTTGTAATGACAGTATTTAGGTTAACTGTCTCAAATTTCTAATTTAAAGTTAAACGTGGCAGCTCAGTCTGTAATCTCAGCACTTAGGAAGCTGAGGCAGGAGGATTGCCATGAGTTCAAGGCCAGCCTGTGCTATAGCGCAAGACTTGTCTCAAAAAGCCAAAAACAGACAAAAAGCTTATTTCATTGTATGCCTTCATACATCATGTATATGAGCATAATAGTGTTGTAAGGGTCTAAAAATGAACTTCCTGAGTCAAAGACTGTAGACATTTATCAGTTTCATAGATGTTGCTAAATTGCTTTAATGTATACCCCTGATAATAGAATTCCAGGTGTGGTGGTGCTTGCTTTCAATTCCACCACTCCAAAGGCAGAGGCAGGAGGATCTTTGGTGAGTCAAAGGCCAGCCTGGTCTACATAGTGAGTTCCAGGACAGCTGGGGCTACAGAGAGACCATGTCTCGAAAAGACAAAAAAAAAATATATATATATTAAATATCCTATTTTCACTTTTTATTTCTGCTTAAATCCTAACTAGTTTATTGGGCTTGCTAACAGAGCATAGGATGGGAGGTTATTTACAGAAGAGTGGGTGCCCCCCCCCATTTACAGCTGTCCTGGAAAGTCTGCACTTACATAGATCCTGTGACTTCCCAATAGCTGCATAAAATGGCAAGAGAGGTGCCTCATGACATTCTCGGCTTATATATCTTTAGCTCCTCCCCCATATGCAGCTAAGGTTGACTGATTGGGTGGGAGGGGTAACTGACTCCCCCCTTGACTCCTTGATGAGCTTGGGAAGGAGGTTTGACTATAGTAGTTGGCAGACATTTCCAGGTCACAGTCCATCCCTTCTTTCGGCTCTTACATTCTTTCCAACTTCTGCCAGAGTCCCTGAGCCTTGGAGGGGGTGGTAGGTGTAAAATGATCTTCCTCCCACAAGGTCTCCCACAAGGTCTCATTGTGTGACTCTCCCTGACTGGGCTGACCTTCAGTTCACAGAGATCTGCTGCCTCTGCCTTCTGAGTGCTACAATTGAAGACATGCCATCTTGCCCAAGTTTTAACCCCCATCTCTCTTCTTTCTCTTGGAGTTTCTTATAGCCCCAGCTGGCCTAGAGCTCACTATGTAGACCAGACTGGTCTCAGTCTCGTAGAGATCAGCCTACCTCTGCCATCTGAGTGCTGGGATTAAAGGCTCTCACCACCATGCTCTGCTCAACTTCTTTTTTTAAAGAAATACTTTATTGGTGGATCTCAGTGAGTTCAGTACCAGTCTGGTCTACATAGTGAGTTCCAGGCCAACCGGGGCTACAGGGAGACCCTGTCTTAAAAAGAAAAACCAAAGAGGAGGAAAAAAAATAAAAGAAACACTTTATTATAGAAAGTAGCCAGACTAGTACAGTGACCTCTGTGTATCTGTTAGTTTCAACAGTGATCACTTTATGGTCAGTGGTGGTAACCCACCTCCATCCTGCTGCATTATTTTGAAGTAAACCCTGGCATTTCTTTCATGATTTAGTATATATACCTAAAAGGTAGGACAGCGGGGCTAGAGAAGACTTTTTGTAATCACAGTAATATACCTAAAAATTAACAGTTATCTTGTACCATTAAATATCTACTTGATATTTAAATTTCACTTGCCTCATAAATTTATTTATTTATTTAGTCTTTTTTGAGACAGAGTCTCCCTGTAGCCCCAGCTGTCCTGGAACTCATTATGTGGACCACGCTGGCCTCGAACTCACAGAGGTCTGCTTGCCTCTACCTCCCAAGTACTGGGGTTAAAGGCGTGTGCCACCATGCCTGGCAAATACAATTATGTTTTTAATTCTCTTATCATGGGGGTGGGTACATACCTAATGCTTTGGTGCACATATGAAGGTCAAAGTACTACCTTCAGAATCCATTTTCTTTTTTCCTCCATGGGTTCTGAGGATTGAATTCAGGTAGCAGGACCATCACCTGCTGAGCCATGTTGCCCTATTTTTTTTTATAACACATTTATTTAAATTATATCCATATAAAGTCCACATCACAATCCTCTGATATCATTTACGCCTTTTTAAAATACAAGTTCTGGTCCATATCTTTTTCTCCCTCCACCCCTACAGTGTATTTGTCAGAGAAATCAGATTTCTTTTTATTTATAGTGTTCAAATGTGTATATGGCTAACTATATATTTGTGCTGCATTTAACATAATAGAGATCTTAATAATTCCTGTGAAATTATAGTTGTACCTAGGCACGTAATTGGATTCAGGTTTTGGATGTGGTGTATATTTTTATTTGAATGCATATGGTATCTGATGAACTCTTCCATGAAGTTAACTACTGTGAATGTTTAGGATCTAAATGGTTTAATTCATTAAGGATTATAGAGTAATGATACTCTAGTTCATCCTTCCATTTTTATTTATAATTTGGATTATTTCTCCATTTGACTATTAGTAAATAGTAGAAGTCATATAAGGAACTCTTGGTAAATTCCTGGTTCCTTCTGTGTATTTAATAATCTTTAGAAGAATGAGTTCCTTGACTAGCACCCTTTAATGGTAATAAGTTTCAGTCCATTACATCTATCCATAATTAGTTTTCAAATTGTTACATCTTTGTACAGTGAGAGCCTTTTTAAAGCTGATTCTCCAAATCAGTTGGACAATTCTATGTGATGCTTCAGACTTACTTTATGAATAGTCTGATTGAAGCCTGGAATTAGTCTTTTGTCATAGGAGCTATTGATCCTGTCACATAAATTCTTAAAGCTTGTCAATGCATTGTGTTCTCATATAAGTCAAGAAAAAATTTAAATTTATAATCAGGATGTGTAAACTGTTACACTTGCAGTGAGAGATTGGATTCACTCTTTTTATTTTGCCTTTTGATTTATTTTTGTTGTTATATGTATGAGTGTATTTTTAATTATTATTTTATGTGTGTGAGTGTACTGCCTGCATGTGTATAAGTGCACCCATGTTGTTCAGTGTCCATGGAGATCAGGAGAGGGCATCGAATCCCCTGGAACTGGAGTTACAGCCATCATGTGGGTGCCAGAAATCGAACCTGGGTCCTCTGTGAGAGCAGTCGGTACTCTTAACTGCTGAGCCAGCTCTCCAGCCAGAGTGTTTTTACTGTATGTATGTGTATGCCTGTGTGTGCAATGCCTGTGGAGGCCAGAGAGGGTGTCAGACCCCCTGGAACTGGAGTTACATATGGTTGTGAACTGCCATGTGGGTGTTCGGAACTGAACCCAGGTCCTCTGCGAGAAAAGCTAGTGCTCTTAACCCAGCCATCTCTCCAACCCCTGTTTTGTTTTGGGACAGGTTCTCACTGTGTATCCTCAGCTGTCACAGAGCTCACTAGGTAGACCAGGCTGGCCTCGATTTCACAGAGATCCCCCCTCTTCTGCCTCCTGAGTGCTAAGATTAGAGGCATGAGTCACCATGTCTAGCATGAATTCCCTTTTGAGGTCAAAATAAGTATTCTACCTTGGAAAAGAATAAACCTGCAAATACTCATTTGTCTGGCACTTGCCTCTTCAGGAAAGTACAACTTCCAGTATAATTACTGACTTTTCTGCAGTCCAAGTAGCTTGACAGGTGTTTAGGATTAGATGATGGCACTTGTAGTGCAGCAAAGGAATTCAGACTGAGAAAGTTGCAAGAGTCTGTTGATGGAGAATGGCAAGTGATGAGCTGGGAGCTGAATTGGTCATGGAGTGAATATGGGTCTCCTAATTTTCAGTCCTTTGTTTTTTACTAATAGCATTCTTTTCTTTAGGGGCATTGCCTAAAACCTCCCCACCTTTTTTGGGTTTCTTTTTTTATTATATTTTTATTTTATGTGTATGAGTGTATTGCCTATGTGTAGATAGGTGCACCCATGTCATGCAATGCACAAGGAGGTCAGAAGAGGGTGTTGGGTCCCCTGGGACTGGAGGTACAGGAGGTTGTTAGCTGCCATGTGGGTGCTGGGAATTGAATTGGGTTCCTCTACCAAAGCAGCCAGTGTTCTTAGCCATTGAGTGAGTCATCTCTCGAGCCCCTTTTCTGAGTTTCTTAAATGGTTTATACTGACTCTTCCAGAAGAGCTCACATTGGCCTTCCAGAAATTATATTAAACTTTAGGAATATTTGATTTTCATTAGGATATTATTATCAGTGAGTAGGATATGTCTGTTTGTATATTAATAGTTTTCTAAGTGACATAAATAAAATACTGCCCTCCTTAATGTTTTAGGGCTGAGCTGTGCTGGAAGAAGTTACATTTTCATTGACCAGTATAGACTTTAGTGTATAGTACACATGCAATCATTACTTATGCAGAGGATGATTTGGTAGTACACTGGCATATATTATAATTTGTTAGAGACTATATGAACTTAAAATACTTGACTTCTGACCAAGATGTGAAACAATCTAACTTGTTGGATGTCTTATTTGGGTACTTCTCATTCCTAGTGAAAAGAAAATGCTTATGATCCCTCCTCATAAGATTGTCATCTTTCTCTTATGTTAGCTTTACTTCCTTATCAACAGAAATTCATTTGGGTATTTTTAATATTGAAGGGAAAGAGCCATCGCCTTTGGAGATGAGTATGCATCCAGTGGCCACGGCTCCACTGTCAGTGTTCGCTAAGGAGCCTGTGTCCTCCAAACACAGTGAGCACCATCACCACCACCATCATGAGCACAAGAAGAAGAAGAAGAAGCACAAGCACAAGCACAAACACAAGCACAAGCACGACAGCAAAGATAAGGACAAGGAGCCTTTCTCTTTCTCCAGCCCTGCCAGTGGCAGGTCTGTGCGCTCTCCTTCGCTTTCAGACTGAAACCTGGCAACAAGGCTTACCAGACTCCTCCCTAGAAGATTGTTACTAAAGCATTGTTCTCTGTGGAGAGTGATAAAGCGGGAAAGATGCTTCTTGTCTTTGGGAAGTTGAGAACGCATTTCAGTTCTAGGAGTTTGATTTGTGTTATTTATACAACTGAGATTTAAATAAGAAACCGTGTTTTATGGTTCTGGACGAACGGTTTCCACCCTTGTTTCTTAAGACACACATGCATACAGACCGAACTTTTTACTAAAGCCTTCATAGCCACTGGCAGTGTCCATTGACACGATGGCCTCCCTGTGGACTGTTAGCACCAGTTATGCCTGAAAGCCTTTGACGGATGTCAACAGGGCAAAGGAACATTTTAAACAAGCAACTGCCAGTTCTGTGGTGTACCCAGTATTTCCAGTGAAATGCTGTGTAGCACACCTGGAATTACTGAAGAGGCAGACTTTCCTGTAGGGCTTTTTCCTTTTGCACTGCTTTTTGTGTTAACCATAGAACTAAGCACCATCATTTATTAGCAAAGAAAATAAACGTTCTATCTCCTTTTACCCTAAGTACCAAAATTTTTGGAAGAAATTATTTTTTAAAAAATTGAAAATAACCAACTTTTGATAGCACATTTGGCCACTATGATGTTGGAATTTAGTAGAACAGTTGGATCCATAGTTATTCTCAAATCAAGATATTTAAATTATGTTTTGTTTTGTCTTCCATTAAGTACAAGTGAATATACGCATATGTAAAATACGCTTTGCTGTAGGTGAATAGTTTACATAACCGACACATACTCTTTCTAAAATTATTCTGTACATAAGCCAGGTGTAGTGGCAGCATGCCTGTAATCCCAGCACTTGGGAAATGGAGGTAGGAGGATCTTTCAAGACCAGACTTGGCTACGTGAGAATCTGTCTCAAAAAACAAAATGAAAATTACTCTGTATAACAAAAATATGACACCTTTAAAAAGTGAGTTTATTTGTTGTTTATTAGTTGGGACATAGATAATTTGGCCCTCACTGGAGTATACCAGGAACATTTTTTAAAAAGACATGTACACTGTTTTGGTTTCGTATTTTAGTAGTTTGTATGGTTGTGTGTTTTATTTTTATTTCTGAATTTAACCAGGTTCTGTGTTAAGGATTTTTTTTCACATCGGCTCACTTTTTATCATTTACCTTGTCATTAAAAAGCTTGACTAAATAATCTCAAGTATTTCAGAAGGGATCCAATAATGTTGGACTTTTAAGTATACTTTTAGTTATATTTAACTTGTTTAATAAATAACTTTTAAAATTGATCATCCTGCCTTTATCTTTATTGTTACCTTCTGAGTGTGTATTTAATATGCCAGTCGACGTGGATCACAGAGAGCTTTAAAATGAGTGGGATTTGAGTTGGCCATAGTACAGGGTAGTTTCAGTGGGCAGAGGTGGGGCTCAAGTCTCCCCAGGAAAGTGCAGCAAAGCAAGCATGTGTCATGTGTTCAGGAAATAGAAAGCAGTCATGTTGGCCTGGAACACAAGTGCAAAGGACGTGTGACCCGATGTGGAAGGGCCCGGGTAACAGGTACTTACTTGCCAATTCCAAGTAACTGAATGTTGGCCAACTCAGATTATTTTTGGAAAATGGAATTTTTGTATTAGGATGTCCAGTGACACTGTATACAGATCTCTCAACTCTGTATTATGAAATAATTGTCATGGAATGAGGAGTGTGATGTAACTGCCATCAGTTACAAAAGCCCTCTTGTACATGGAGCAGTGTTTTGGGACGTGTATTTATGTATATCATTCCTAAACCAGAAGTTCCTATCAGTTTGTCTTGGAAAGGACATTTTTATGGTGGGTTCTAGATTATTTATGCTGATGGTTCAGAGTAGGCAATATAAAAGATTTTATTTCTGGTTTTGAAAATGCATAGCATACATAATACAAACTTTAGTGTATCAAGCCTTTTTCAGAGACAGTGTTGCATCTTTTTCCAGAGCTTACACACACACCACACACAAACACGCATGCATGCATGCACAAACACAAACATACAGTAGCTTTTTCATGTTAGCAAATGAGGCATACTTGGCAGAAATTGTTTTTTGTTTTTGTGTTTATCTTTTATGGCTTCCATACTTTGTATCATAGTAAAAAAGGTTTATAATTCTGTGATTCTTGAAGAATTCTCTTGTTGATTTTGTTTAGAATTGTTTTTAAGTGTTTTAGGATTCTATCATTCATCCAGAGAGAATTCACCTGGAATTATTTTGATGAGAGGTAAAGATCCAATTTTCTTTACTTTCTGGAATGCTACCCCCAGCTAAACATATTTAAATTTATCTCTCTGAATTCAAATTATATGCTAAATTTCCCTATAAATTCTTGTCCACTTTTGGATTCTGTGGATCTGTCTTCTCATCTTCCAGTGGCATACCACCCAGGTTGTAGTGCTAGTATACCACCTAGGTTATTGTAGCACTAGGACAGGGTTTCATTACTCTCCAGAATTAGTTATTTGGTTTTTTTTTTTTTTCTCTTTGATTTCTCTCTTTTTTAAAAAAGCTTTTCGTTTTAAAAAATATTTTATTTATTATTTTATGTGTATTGAGTGTATTTCCTACATGTATGTAAGTGCACCTGTGTCATGTGTGTGTGCAGGGTCCTTAGGAGGTCAGAAGAGGGCATCAGATCCCCTGAACTGAAGTTAGGATTGTTGTTAACTGGAAATTGAGTCCTCTATAAGAGCAGCCAGTGCTTTTAACTGTGGAACCATCCCTCTAGCCCTCTTTGATTTATCTTGTAAATTACATATAAAAATTCATCCCTTGTAGTTGAAGTTACATATCCAGAATCATGGTTCTACCACCCTCAAAATTACCCCTTCCCCCACAATTACCACTGAGCAGTTTTCGTTCCCTATAATTTGATACTTCCTTTTTAAAGGAACAAATATCAAATCTTTTTGGCCTTTCAAAATTATTTTTGTAGCTTATGTGTCAAATCAGAGGTGATTTATTTTATTTTGATGTTGATTATTAGTAGTGGTACTATTACTATTAATAGTATTTCTTTTAAAATGTATTATAAAGGGGCTAGAGCAATGGCTCAGCTGTTCAGAGCACTGGCTGTTCTTGCAGAGGACCTAGGTTCGATTTTCAGCACCCACATGGCAGATAATTCCAGTTCCGGAGGATCTGATACCCTCTTCTGACCTCCGTGGGCATTGCATGACACACTTATGTACATGCAGCCAATATACTCATGCACATAAAAAAAAATAAAAAATTTTAAAGTTGTTAAAAGCCTGGTGTGATGGTGCATACCTGTAATCCCAGCAAGGCCAGTCTTAACTGCAGAGCAAGCCTGAGGCCAGTGTGGGCCACATGGGACCTTGTCTCAAAAAAATAAAATACTTCTTATGTTGCTTATTTAGACTCTATAAACTATGCCCGTTTTATTGTAAAATTATTCATTCCTTTATGCTAATTTTGTGCTTGCTACTTTACTGGCTTCTTATTTGCAACATTTGAAAGCATTTCTTAGAATTTTTTTCTTGAAAATAGTTATATCTATTGATGGTGATTTTATGGCCACATTTCTAATTTTTATGGGTGTGATTTTCCATTTTCTTTTGAACGGCTTCTTTCCGTGGCTGTTAGTCTCTGCTGCGGGTCTGGGCATCCACCCCGCTTTGGGCTTCCGCTTCCTTTCTCCACACTTGGCAGCCCTTCCCCATGCGTTGTGGATAGGAGCTTCATTTTTTTTCTTTTTCCTGGGAAGTTGAAATTTGCTGTTTTTTATTCTTATGTAGATGATTCTTAAGAAATAGAAAACCCAGTAACCATTGCAATGTCTCACATAGTCCTTCAAGACAATTTTAATCAGAATGCCTTGTAATCCTTTTCTGGGAAATAGACAGCTATCAGTTTTCCTGCTGTCTTCCACTCATCTCTTCTGTCTTCAGTTTTTATTGTAAGTCACTGAAATTCCTTCAGATCAAATATACACTAACCCACACAGAACGTTGTCAGAGCTCACGACTCCTGGCACCATCCCCTTTGAGTGTAGCCTACATTTAATGACTTGCTTCCAAAGACTAAAACAGAAAAGGGTAAATAGCTGACAGACTCTACTGCAGACACCCATGGTAAACAGCAACAGTGATAGATGTTATGGAAGATGTTAACATGTCTTCCATAATGTGATGTTATGGGAAAGACACTTCTCTCTGGATATGAAGACATTCTATCTGGTCTAATCATCGGGAAAACAGACAAACCTAAATGGAGACAGTTAATCCTCTAAACTATTACAGTTGTAGGGAACAGTAAGAGAAACTCAGACCACAGGAGATTAAGGAAACCAACAACAAATGCAGTGCTATTCTGGGTTGGGTCCTACAAGAGGAAATGAACTCTAGTAGAAAAAAAGTTAAATTCAAGTATGTTCTGAAGTTTCTTTGAAGAACTAATGTTACTACAATGGTCCAAATGTTTGTGTTCCTCACACCCAAAATTCATGTGTTAAAACCAGCCCCCTTAATCTAAGCAGGGTTTTGATGGTATAAGAAAGTAGGAACTTGATCTGCAAGCCTCTCTCCCGGGTAAGTCCATCGCACCTTGACTCCCCCAACCTCATTAACCCTCCCATCTCCCCCACCAGTCTCTCCTAGTTTGGGTCCTGCCCCATTCCTTGTCTTGGGGCCCGAGACACCTCCTTTTCATCCAGGCCAACCTAGTGCCTTCTCTGGGCCCCAGGAGCACTGCTTCTGGGCCTGGCCCCGCCCTCACCTCCCTCTGCTTCCCTGGGCCTGCACCACCCACTGCAGGCCTCTCTCCAGAGTAAGTCCATCGTGCCCTCTGAGCCTTGACTCCCCCAGCCTCATTCATCCTCCCACAGAATGGGAGAAAAATCTTCACCAGCGACACATCTGGCAGACGTATAATATCCAGAATGTAAAACAAACTCAAAAAACAGAATCAAGACAAGAAGTAACCCAATTAAAAGATGGGCTAAGGAGCTAAACAGAGAGTTCTCAAAAGAAGAAGTAAAGATGGCTATGAAGCATCTTAAAAGATGTTCAACATCACTAATAATTAGGGAAATGTAAATTAAAACC